TTCTGCTGACCCCCCCCCCCCACAGCAGTCAAGCTCAAGGGACAGCCACAGTGGATTCGCCTGTCAAGAATAAAAAGGGTTCCTGCTTCTGTCCCTTCTATACCAACACTGACTTTGAGGTACACCTGTTCCCCTGTTGGGCCTACCAAGCCCCCTGCCTGAGAAGACTTCCTCCAGACTTCCTCCGAGAGACTCGCTTCTTGCAGACATCATCTAAGGCCTCATGCCACCAAGAGACAGCTGCTGTTCACTGCCTTCTCTGGGAGGGGACCAGATTCCAGCCTTTTACCCCTATTGAAGCCCCTTGCAAGCAGGAAGTAGCCAGAGAGAATCTTCACCCTTTTTCATAATTATCAAAAGGCTGGAATGGAAGGTCTGCACAGGGACACCTCCCTCCCTTTTGGCTAAGTTTCCACCCAGTATCTGTTACCTAGGTAACTGGCAGACCTGGAAGCAGTCACCTTCCCCTCCTGCTAGGTCACATCCTGGGCCACCTCTGGTCACATGTCTCCCTTCTGACCCTAGGAGGCTCCCAGACCCTGAGGTCACATCCAGATGCAGTGGGGCCACATCTTTCCCCCACCTGGCCACAGCTCTTCTGGCCCCTGGCCCAGAGGTGGGTCACCCCTCTTCCTCCCTCCCCCCTCCGGTTTCCTACTTCAGCCATGTTTCTCCACCATGCATGGTGGGGGCAGCAGTTTGGAAAATTAACTTTTCCTGCCTGAATAGCACGTGATGTTCTCTTCATCCGCTACCTAGTGAAACCTACCTATTTAATATACCTTACATTCTCCAAGTAGCAACTTGGCTTCCTGTTGGCTGGAGTACAAGGCACAGTGTTTTAATAGAGAAGCCAAAGAAAGTGAGCAAGTGACTGAGCTCTTTATGATCCTAGCCTGAGATTCACCCCGTATTCATTTCTGCTGTGTTCTACTCAACAGAAGAATACTTATTATGTAAGGTTGGTCCATGTTCAAGAGAAGGTGAAATTAAGTTTACTTTTTTTTTTTTTGCTAGTGCTGGGGTTTGAACTCACAGACTCACACTTGCCAGGCAGGCACTCTTACTACTGAGTCATGCCTCTAGCCCTTTGTTGTACTGGTTATTTTTTCTTTTGTCAGTCATGGACCTTGAATTCTGGGCCTGGGCTCTATCCTTCAGCTCTTCAACTCAAGGCTAGCACTCTACCACTTGAGCCACAGCACCACTTCCAGTTTTCTGGTGGTTAATTGGAGATAAGAATCCCAGAGACATTCCTGCTCAGGCTGGCTTTGAACTGTGATCCTAAGATCTTAAGTCTCCTGAGTAGCTAGGGTTACAGGTGTGAGCTACTGGTGCCCAGCTGTACTGTTTATTTTTGATATGGTCTTACTTCCAGCCCAGGTATATACCCAAGATCCACCTGTTTTAAGTTTCTGTATGTGAGACAGAACTTTCCTATCACAGTGTGTTATTTAAAAGTTCCTGCTTGGGCTGGTTATATGCCTTAGTGGTAGAGTGCTTGCTTAGCATGCATGAAGCCCTGGGTTTGATTCCTCAGTACTGTAAGGTCCATTCCTGGATGGCGAACAAACCTCACCCGGTACCCTCATTACCTAGGCAACCGGGACACCTGGAAGAGGTCACATCTGCATCCACTGAGGTCACATCTGAATCTGATGTGGCCACACCCGGTCCCACTTCCCTTTACCTGGACACACCTTTCTCCGCCCCCTACCCTATATAAGGCCTAACCCAGGGCCAGACGCTCTTTTTTTGCCAGCCGCATGGAGTGCCAACCTTGCCTGGTCCCAGCAGATCTACTAAATAAACCTACCCCTTACCTGAATACCACGTGCGTGATGCTGTTCTTACTCAGCTACCTTTTAAAAACCTAACAAGTACCACATAAATAGAAAAAGCCAGAAGTGGTGCTGTGGCTCAAATTGTAGAGTGCTAGCCTTGAGCAAAAAGTCACTCATGGACAGTGCCCAGGCCCAGAGCTCAAGCCCCACAAGAGGGGTGGGGGAGTGTAAAAAAAAGAAGTTCCTGCTTTGGCCTGGTGGCTTGGCTCTCATTAAGAGAGGTACTACTTTGGGATAAAGAAGGGGTTTTGAAAAGTAAGGTTTTATTTTAAACTTTTTGAGGATGGAATCAATACACACTTCAGATTATCCTGGAAATAGCAGAGGGTTGGGTACATTTTGAGATTGTATACTGTTAATCTTATTTCAAAGTCACCTTATGTAAATACATTTTACCCTATTCAAAGTAGTCAATCACCAGCAGATTATGGACCTGAGCTCAACCAATAGGAAGCAGCCTGACTGCGGTGTACTTGCTTGCCAGATTTCTGTTTGCTTGTTTGTTAGATACCTACACCTATATCCTAATTACATTCTCACATTATGGCTTAACAACCTAGTAAGACAATAGTTCAAGACAATAATACAATAGTTCAAGGTGTTAGTTCCATCCCTTTTTCTTTTTTTACTGTCAGTTGTGGGGCTTGAACGCTGGGTCTAACCAGTGCTGTTCCTGAGCCTTTTTGCTCAAGGCTAACACTCTACCATTTTGAGCCACAGCTACACTTCCAGTTTTCTAGTGGTTAATTGGAGATTAGAGTCTCACATATTTTTCTGCCTGAACCATTATCCTGAGACCACAGTCTCCTGAGTAGCTAGGATTACAGATGTGAACTACCAGTGCCCCACTTGCTTGCCAGGGTTTTGGCTGATGGTGCATCTTTCTACAGTAGTAAATTTTGCCTTTCTGAGACAATTCTTTATTTTTGTGTCTATCATTGTGACTCCAGTGATTCTTGGAAGGCATATTTCTAACACTTAACGGGCATGATCAAGCTCTCCATTGAGAAGGGGTTTCATATGTGTGTGTTGGTTGGCTATAAAACACAATTTCCCCAATCTTAGCCTAGATTACAGGTATGAACCACTGGCACTTGAATTAAGCCCACTTTTTGGCAGAGAAGTATCAAATAAGCTTTGGACATGTTTTAAAAAACCCATTAAGGGCTATCTCCTTTGGAATTATCAGAAATAATTTAATACTGTAAGGTATATTAAAGGTAGGTTTCATTAGGTAGCTGATCACCATGGGCTACTCAGGAAGGAAAAGAAGTTTATTTACCGAACTGCTGCTCCTGTTGTGCATGGTGGAGAGACACTACAGAAAAAGGAAAGGGGCCACCCACCCTTGGGCCAGGACTTATCTAGGCCAGTGTCAGGAAGAGGTGTGGCCAGGTGGGAGAAAGGTGTGGTCACACTGGATCTGCACAAGCCCTCAGGGCCTGGGATTACATGGGAGGCATGTGACCAAGAGTTGGCCCAGGATGAGACCTAGCAAGAAGGGAAGGTGACTTCTTCGAGGTGTGGCTAGTTACCTAGGTAACAGATACTGGGCGGAAACTTAGCCAAGAGCTAGGGAGGTGTCCCTGTGCAGACCTTACAAACACTTATTGAATAAGGGAGGCATTTACTTGTATGTGGCCACACGGCTCTATATAGTGCATGGAAACTGCAAAAACTAGTTATTATTCTGCACCTATGTGTTTGTCTGAACATTTTACTACAAAAAATGAAAGAATGAGAATGGATATAACACTAATCAGCATTCATGTCTTGCCCTTAAAATGACCCTATTGTGGTAAGAGATAATGATCATATCTAATTAGTATTTAACTCCATGGAGCACACTACAGTGCTTGTAGTTTCAAGAAATGAAGAAATAAGTGTTATTCACATTATCACCAAGACTCAAGACCTTAAACTTCAATTATGTGTGTGTGTGTGCACGCATGCACATGTGCTTATGCTAGGGCTTGAACTCAGGGCTTCATGCTCTCATTTTTTGTCTACTCCAGCTGGTATGAGATGGTTGTAAGGTATATTAAATAGAAGTAGCTGATGAAGAGAACACCTCTGGTTATTCAGGCAGGAGAAGAAGTTTATTTACCGAACTGCTTGCCCCTGCAGTTCTTGGTGGAGAGGCAAGGCTGAAAAGGAAAGGGGGGGAGGGGCACACTGGATCCCATGTGACCTCAGGGTCTAGGACCCTCCTAAGATCAGATAGGAGGCATGTGACCTGAGATGGCCCAGGATGTGACCTAGCAGGAGGGGAAGGTGACTGCTTCCAGATCTGCCAGTTACCCAGGTAACAGATACTCCCTACCAAGAGGTAGGGAGGTGTCCTTTGCAGACTTTACACGGTGATTCTCAGATCTCAGCCTCCTGAGTTGCTAGGATTACAGACAGTTTCTGGTTTCTGGGCTCAATCTTTCACCTTTTAAAAAAGTGATTTGTGAAATTCTAAAATCTTACACATTATGCCACCCTTTCTAATATGCTCTCCAAGGTAGGTGTGTTCCTCAAATGAGGAATAAAAGCTAGTGTTTCCTACATGTTGACAGTTGCCTTAGTTACTTAGAGCAAGATGTTGCTCTAAGTATGAAAAACCGTCTGTGGCGCCATCTCTCACCCGGCATTTAAGGGCCAGCAATAATTAAGACCAAAGGCTTTCCCTCAGCACTGCAGTCACCTTCCCCTTGCTAGGTCTTAAGAGTATGTAGCCTGTTTCCCTGGCTCTTACAAAGAAATAAAAATGTTTTCTCTGCATGCCGCAAAGGCAGAGAATGCCTATGGAAAATGTCAGGGAAGGCCAAGCACCACCAACACCTAGTCCATGGTGAAGCTTTTCTTCCTCCCCCTCCCTGCCTGCCTCTTCCCTTTTCTTTCCCTTCTCTTCTCTTCTTTTCTCCTCTCTTCCTTGGTTTTCAGCAAGCTTCGGCCTTCTGCAGCAGACGGCTCTGCGGTTACCACCCCTTCCAAGCAGAAACCCTCCGCAGCAGCTCAGAAAGCTCACCCTAACCGAGCCCCGCCCTCGCGGCCCTAAAGCCCTCCGCTCTTTACGACGGTAGCACGACACGGGGCGTGTGACACGGGGCGTGCTACCGCACGGGGCCAATCACGTCACTCCAAGGTAACGACGTACGCCGGCGCTCGCTCATGCGCAGGGCCGGGAGACCTTGGAAAAGTGGTGGAGTCCCTCAGCTGGGGCGAAAGCTTTGGCGGAGAAAGCGGAAAGTCCTGAGGAAGCATGCAGAGCTGGAGTCGAATGTACTGCACCTTGGCCAAGGTGAGGGCCGCCTGGGTGGGGTCGTGCTGGGTCCGGGGCACTGCGAAGCCCGCCCGCCGGGGCCGGGACCCCCCTCCGGCCGGGG